CTAGCGAGAGCAGATTTAAGACTTGCTTAATAAGTAGGATAATTAGCGACGCTAGCGTAACGACCGTATACGACGAGAAGCTATAGAGCGCCGAATATAGCGTTCTTAGATAGATACGTCTAGGGACGAAGATATAGTAGCTAACTAGACCTAGCTTACAATGCTACCGTTCGATCTAGTACCTTTAGATAAGTTTAATAAGACCGAGCGTCTTATATCTAGAGCATTCCCGACGCTATTCCTATAGGGATCTAGAGAGTTCGTTAAGGCTCGTTAGCGCGGTATGTCGTACGATAACTATCTTAAGTATCTTATTAAGTAGGATAATAGCACTAGACCTCGCCGCTACCGATTTGCGTTATATCCGCGATTCCGATACGTTAGCTTAAACACTCTTATAAGAAAGCAGTTACGTAAGAAAGCAGACTATATTATATAGTAGAATCCTTAATATAAGGAGATTACTGTCGAGGAGCTTAAAGCGGCTCTAACTTCGAATTCGGAATAACGAGGAATCCCGGCGTCTACTTGCTAATATTGTTCGATATAGTAATAGTCTTCGGGGTACTCGCGCGTACTAGGTTAGTAAGACTAATAAGCTAGAGAACTACGTTAAGGCTATTAGTTGTCTACGTCTCTTCTTAACTTATAGTGCAGCTAACAATTACTAGTAGAGTCTTTAGCGATATATACCTAATATTCTATCTAGCGGCAACGAGCATTAGCGGGTTAAGACTAGTAGAGACAATATCCGCGAGAACCCGGCGATTGTAGCGTACTACTTCTACCGCCGCTATACGTTCGTAATACAGTTAATAACGAAGAAGTTTAGCGTTACTAATTACTAGAATCGGTTTGAATTCTAAGCCCGTAGCAGTTCTTACAATTATAGAGTAGTATAGCTAAAGGAATACTAGATCGATAGCAAGATCCTTCTACTACCGCCGATAATATATAACGAGGGCTATTGCAACGACCTAGCTAAGTTCTAGAGCAAGCATGTTACGGCTACTAACCCTACGCCTCGACGAACTGCGCCTAAGCCTAATAAGCCTACAATCCTCTAGGCTAAGAAGGGCGACATTCTTAACTCTTAATAGCATCTTATAATAAACCTTAATCGTGTATAGCGTTATAAATGCGGCTACGAATACTGTTAGCGGAAGAATAAGGACAGTAGGCTTACTTAGTACCGTTTCTACTACCTACGTAGGAATTATCCTAATACTAGGGAAGTAACCCGTTCTTTAAATCCCCGATATTAGATATATAATAGTCTACGTAATAATACACGCATAACTAATTACAACCGTACCGTTTAGATAGCATAGGGAGCGAATAACGATATTACTATCTATATAGACAAAGGCGCTGTCGTCGACTATCTTAGCAAGTACTATACTAAGTAAGAGAAGCGGAGTAAATCATTAATCGAGCTTAGGTAGAAAGTGCTACCGAGAATTAACGAGAGCCGACCTATAGTATCTTTTATCGCTAAGATGCTAAACAAGATGATTAGAGAACGTAACATCTCTGCTTAAGAAGAGATATACCTTCTTCTCGATCTACCGCTTGCCTAAGGCTTACGCAAGGTTTAGAACTTCGATTGTCGCAAGCTAGAATATTAGTCGAAGGTTAAGCGCTTTAATCTAACAACTAGTCAAATAGTTACTTAGGGACAATCGCCTCTATTAAAGTACCTAAACCGATATGCTATTCCTAAAGCGAAGTTTAACTACTCTAACTTAGTCGCTAACCTAGACCTTACTCTCTTCGAGTTTCTTACTAAGTAGGAGTTCGATACCTATAAGAAGCGTACTCGAGCGAAGGTACGTATTATTAATTAGTATCTAAAGTATAGTGCTATCCCCGATAGTCTAGATAGAACATACGAGGACTAGTACCGCACTAAAGTCCTCCTTTACTATAAGTTTAATACGAACTATCCTAGCCTACTATATACCTACGAGGAAGATCCGAGCATATCCTACGATATATAGGCTAGTGCCTACGAAGCCTATAAGCTCTTTTATAAGTATCCGGATAACTATATAGGCACTAATCTTCCTAAGCCTATAGAAGACCTATTTAAGGATAAAGTCTACGATCTAGAGGTTAAGCGACTAGAAGCGGAGTTACTCGCTAGTATATTACTAGGTCGCAACCCTATAGAGATGCTAGAAGATCTTAACGACCTTAGTAACCGAGAAGTCGATAGGGAGTATAATTAGAGTACCTATATCGGTAGATACGGTATTACTATTAATAATATTAAAGACTAGTAGAAGTATAAGCGAGGAACTATAGCACGTAAAGTATAGAGAATTGGTATACCTACAGACCTAGATTAGCGTATTAACGGCTTGTCTAACGCTTAGGAGCTATAGTATAACAAGGTTGTCAATTATTAGCGTACTTAGACGGACGATATAAATACGCCTACATTCCTCCTTAACGTCGACGGGAAAGCTAGTATTAGCAAGTTATACGTTATAGAGACCGTCTTATTAAAGCTCGAAGCACTTACCGATAAGTTTAATAACTCGGATACTAGATATCCGGATCTTTAGATAGAGAATCCTATTATCCGACTAGCACCTACGGGTACTACTGCTAATAGCATTAAAGGCAGTACTTTGCATAGCTTCTTTAAGTTGCCCTTAAAGATGAAAGAGTATATTCCGCTAGATAGCTAGGCGCTTACTAACTTCTAAGATCGTATAGGCTAGATTAAGTATATCATTATTAATAAGAAGTCTATAATAGACCTTACTATACTTTACTAGATCGATCGTCGACTTCGCTAGGTTAGTTATCCCGCTCTATAGAGCTAAGGACCCGATACTACTCTCCTATTTAGCGGTAGATATATTACTATTGCAGGTAACTTTAACTAGCTTCTGCCCGTCGGCGGCAAGCTACTATTCTTAAAGCTTGCTAACCTCCGTACGCCTAAGGACATTGCTAGATACGAGGCTTATTAACTGTTTAACTAGACTATCTAGCTAAGCGTAATCTATCGATAGTAGGGTAATAATCCCCGATCTATTGCCTTCCGCGATGCTTTAGAGGGCCTTCGAAATGCTCTAGCTAGTATAACTATATCTTACTAGGAGACATTATATTCCCGTATAAAGACATTACTATCTTAAGCAGAACAAGACGCCTTTAAGGCCGCTATTCGGCTTTACCTATATAAGAAGCAAGTTAACGCCTATAACTAAGACGCTATACGAGATAACAACACTCCTATTAAGGTCGCTAAGGCTAATTACGTTAGCGCCGAGGCAGCTAAGACATCGTACGAGAACAGTAGCAATCTATACCCGCGGTTGCTATTATATATCGGTGCCCGTATTATAGTTACGCAGAATCTATAGACTAAGGGAGGTATCGTTAACAGTAGTATAGGCACCGTTATTAACATTATCTAGGAAGCTACTAATAATAATCCTAATAACATCCTTTAGCGCTTGCCTACCGTCCTTCTTATTAAGCTTAACAAATACTCCGGGCTAACCTTTAACTAGGAATTTAACGAGGATAGCAGTAGAGGGTTGCCTCGTAGCGTAGTACTAGTCGTTCTAGTTCGACGAGAGTAGCTATACAATTAGAACTAGAACAGTCCGTATATACGTACGTAGTCCCCCTTAATAATCGCATACGCAATTACTATCTATAAGGCATAGGGCATAACTTTAGATAAAGCCGTTCTAGATATCTCTAAGAAGGACTTTACTATCGGCTTAACCTATATTAGCGTCTCGCGGGTACGTAGTCTAGACGATATTATATTCGAAGCACCTTTTAACTTCTATAACCGCTTTAAGACAGTTAAAGTACTACCTATAGTAGTAACTTAATATGCCGACCTAGTCCGTCGTCGCTTATAACGCTTACTTCTAGAAGGGCTTGTTCTTTCTTCTACGCTACTACGTCCTAATACTAAGCTAGTTAATTCGATAACTAACTTAGCTGCTTATACTAAGTAGCAGCGCGATAGGCTCGATGCCTAGCGAGCTAAGCAGGTAGGTTAAGATAAGGCTCGTAAGAAGCAAGAGATGTTATAGTACTTAAAGGATCTATAGTCTATTAATCGTATAGAGTAGCTTCGAGCCTAACTTTAGGCTAATCCGCGCTTGCTATATAAGATTACTGCTCTTATATAGCGCTGTATACGCGCTCCTCTAGAAGCTTATAACTTCCGCTATCCCCTCGCTAAGGGCAGTGTTAACGCTAAGCTAGTACAAGGATTAGTTAGCTAGTTCGAAGCTCTCTATCCGCAATATGCTCCTCCGCCACTGCAGACAGCACTTCTAATAAGAATTCTAGCATTTTTTTTTTAAAAAAAAAAAAAATCCAACGCTAACCAAAAGAAAGATCTTCCGGCCTAATCTGAATGAAGCATTACAAAAGGGGACGAGGCCGACGAATCTTAAGAACTCAGCAGGATCCAGTCAGTCAGTCAGTCTCTCTCTCTCTGATAAAAAAAAAGGTAACGGGCAGACAGGAAGCATAATAGTGAGAAAGAGAAAGAAAGACACCCTTCATCCCTCAAGAAGAGGAGCCTTGAGCCTTGTTTCAGAAGAAGAAGAAGAAGAAAGAATCTCAAAATCCCAAGCAGCAAAGGACAAAAATTTTCGAATGAAGATCACCAGAAGAACTCCGTCCGATTCGAAGAAAACTTTCAGTAAAGGACGATGAAAAACTCAACCTCAATGGCATTAGGAAGTCGAAATGCTTGACTGTTGCTGCTAGACCACCACTTCAGCGCATCATACCTGACATACCGCATCTCATACGGGGAAATCACGAAATATGAATTTCAGCAAGAAAATAAAATCAATCACAGTGGTTCGTGGTTCACAAAATACGACGCTATGTTCGATGCCCAAAATGCATATCTCAAACAACAAAAAATTCAAAGTAAGTTGCGTTTACGCTACATGCATTTCTCTTACTTCCTTCCATCCGTATAAACACTTTCACTTTTGCCACTCTCAACTGCTCGTCTCCCATTCAACCCAATCCCGTCCGACAACTCTCCAAACTTTCACCTCTCCAGACCTGAGATCACCAAGTCTGAATTTCTCACTCCTGACCTTAGACTTTGAACGACCTTGCTCCCAAGCACGGATCGCTCGTCTCGTACCGTCCCACTCCTCCACAACGGCGACGTGCAGAGGGCCGTATTCGTCCCTGTATTTATGCTTCATGGCGCCATGGGTGCCTTCGAAGCGCGCATTTCTTAGCGTCACGATATCCCCAGGACGGATCTCGTCGAATTGCTGAGTAGAAGCGTTCGCGAGGTTGGCATAGACGACAGCGCCGTACGCCTTGTTGCCGATGGGTAGGAGGGCAGCAGGATTGGCCTTGATTAGGTCGGCTGGGAGTGAAGCAGGCGTACCATCGCCTACCGTGGTGTCCTTCTTACTGTGGCCAAGAGAATTGACGGCTTCGGAGATGTTGCGTCCAAACTGGTTCCAGTAGGCCTCGAGCTGATCCTGTCTGAGCTTTGGTGGCGGAGGTCTGTGCTGCTGCTCAAGCTGGACATCTGCAGGATTACTTGCGTCATAACGCGCAGTGATTATCGTCTGGCTGTAGTCCAAGTACAAAATGTAGATTTCCTTTGATACCGTGGAGCGCCCGCCACGTTTTGATGTTGTCGACTCCTCAGACTCGGAAAGAATGTCCACACCATTTCTGCTTTGTAAGCTAGGTGGCAGTGCCTTAGCGGCTGCCCACCAGGTAGTGTTCTCAGCCAAGTCAACGTCTTGAGCCATTTGGCCATTATCGCCCGATGGCCGCGGTTGGTCCATAGAGCGTCGAGTAGTGTTCGATCTGTGCACGTCCAGGGATTGCCTTGGTGGCGCTCGTGACGCAGTGTCGGTAGGCGGCGGGGCAGGCACTGCTCGTGCAGGCTGATCCATCGACTTGCGAGGAGGCGATGTGGCATACAGGTCGTCAGCAGAGCTTTCACGACGCTCGGGCCCTCGAGGCGGCATCGGAGCAGCGCTTGGGACAGGTGGCGGCGCACCCCGCTGCTGTCCAGGCTCATATCGGTATGGATCATACTCATCCCCATCAAGCGCACCAACAGAGTCAGGTATAGGACGGCTAGGAGGCACAGGAGGAGCAGCTCTAGGCGCGTCCATTGAAGGACGCGATTTTGGTGGTGCTTGAGAGGGTGGCGGCGGAGGGACAGCTCTTGGAGCAGTGGGTGAGCTGAGATCGTCTGCCGTGATGCTGCCATCATAACTGTCATCCCGAATGTGTGCTTTCAAGGCGTCCTTGTGTTTCGCGCTTGAAGCAATATCAGTGTCGTAGTCGCCTTCATAGTCACTCTCGCCGCGCTCATCGCCTTCCTGCTGAAGAGCTGTAACAGCCCTGCTTGGCCCTTGAGATGGTGGCGGAGGAGGCGCCGGTCGGGGGGAGGTTAAAGGGCTGCAAGCAGGCACTGGAGGAGGCGGTCGGCTGGCCCTCTTGTCCGATGTGGCAGACTGCGGCTCACCAATGCCAAAGTACGAAGCGCGTCTGTTCTCCGGCGACTGAGGTGCCGCAGATCCAGGCACGGGCGGAGCGCCAGCTGTGTTTGTGCGGATAGGCAGGGGGGTTGTGTTTTCGGCGCCACTCGTTTCAGCCGCTGTGTTTGGAGCAAGAATTGACATCTCGTCGTCAGACTCTGAGCCTGGCCCGGGCGATTGAGGGGCAGCAAGAGGCGGCGGCTGTGGCACAGGACGCGATTCTGGCGCCGTTGCTCGAGGCGTAGGTAAAGCGCTTGTGTTGGGCATTGGAGGTGGCACTCCTCGTTCCTGCGATGGGCGTGAATCTGGAAAGCAGGTCAGCATGAGTTTCAGATGCAGCAGAGTAACAAATTGTGCAGATGAGATGCTCGTTGGACAAAAATGACCTACGACTCTTGCTGAGCGCCGAACTCATAGACATTTGCGCAGCGCCATCTTCGGAAGATAGCGATAGTCCACGGAAATGGTGTCCCGAGTGCAAGCACTGCAGCTGATTGTCGAGACACGTTGTACGCTTCGAAGCAACAGACCTGCGACGAATCTTACCTTTCGGTACCGGAGGAGGGACAGCGCGGTCTTCTTGAGTCGCTTTGCGTGATGGCGGCGCTATTGCTTCTTCAGCGCCCTCTTCAGCAGCTTGATTTCGATCTGCGAGGCTCGATTCTGGGCTGGTAACCCGTTGCAGACCAGGCACTGGAATCATCGGAAACCTTTGCGCCGGCTGAGGTGGCGACAATGGTGCTTCGTCCTCGCTAGGCTTCTTCTCTTTGCGCTTTTTGGGCATGCCGGCGCCTGGCAAAGGCATGCCTCCCGGTGGGCCGAACATGCCAGCCATGCCCATGCCGCCGCTCATCTTAGCCATACGCTCTCGTAGCTCCATACGACGACGAGTCTCCTCGTCCATAGAGTCCTCTTCATCGTCATCGTCGCCGACCTCAGTGGTATCCTCTTCGTCCCCAACGTCTGCCTCTTTCTTTGGAGGATGCACAGCTGACGCAGCTCGTTGTGGAGGAAGCGGCGCATGCTTCTCGTCGCTGTCCTCTGGTCCAATGGTGCCGGTGTCATCTTCCGTGGTCTCGCCTGCTGCAGACTGATCGGCCTCGTTACCGTCGCTCACTAATTCGGAATCAGGCATTGCAGGTATGGGAGACATTGGGATGGATGGCTTGCGCTGCTGAGATGATGGAAGGCGTGCACGATCTCGAGGCATATCCAAAGACTGGCGCTCAGTGTCAGCACTGCGCTCTCTTGTCAAATCCTCTACCTCGGCTTCCTCTTCCGCAGCATGTTCGGATGACTCTGAGGGCTTCCTCGGCGGGGGAGCCTTCTTCTCCTTCTTCGCGCCTTGCCGTGCTGCTTGCTCCATTTGTTGCTGCTGTAATCTTGCGATGCGCTCCTTCAAAGTTTGCGGCTTCTGCGCATGCTCGTCTTGCTCTTGTTGCTCCGAAGAAGCTGCAGTCAAGCCGGCTGCCTCTGCTGCAGCACGATCGTCATCTTGTCTCTGCCTAATCTCTGGGTCTTCCTCTCTTATGTAGGGCTTGTGTACGGGTTCGGCAGGCTTCGGAGGCGGGACATACGAGTTGGCCATTGGAGGAGGAGCCACAAAAGGCTTTTTGATAAAGCCAGCACCAGCAACTGGCTTAGGGCCTCCAGGCACTATGGGAGCAGCAGCTGGCTGGTTAAAGGCAGCAATGCGATCGCGGAAGGCATTGGACTTGGCCGCGACAGGCGGAGGTGCTTTCTTAGAAGGAGTCTCCTTCACTGGCGGGGCCTGCGGCTGCGGTTTGGAGGCAGCCGGAGGCGCTGGCAGCTCATCTTCATCGTCCGACTCTTGTGCAGCGGCTACCGGAGGCTCTGGCACAGGCACAGGCGCAGCTGCTGGTACGGGAGCGGCCTCCTGCTTAGGCCGTGATGGTCTGGTCGGGCGAGTTGGCACGGGTGGCTCATATTTCTCGACGAATTCGCGCGGGAAAATGCCCGACTTGCTTGCTCCCGAGGCATCCGCATATGTCCCTTCTAACCAATTGTCGTCGACTTCCTCAGTGACATCTATGACTTGGCCTCCGGGAAAGCCAAGATCGTCGTCTTCCTTTGCCTCAAAGTCATACAGCGCTTTCACCTTGAACAACGCCGCCATGGTATCGCGTCCCTCTTCAAGGACTGCCTAGAGGAGGGAGAAGCTGCAGCAATGGCAGGCGGACGCTAAGAGGAGGGTGCGGTGGTGGTGGTAGTGGTGGTGATGGTGGGGACTGGGCGGGATTGACGCAATGTCCGCGTGTCGTTTCAAGTGGCCTGGCCTGGCCTGGGCTGGCTCTGAAGCAATGAGCTCAGGTGCGCATGCGTATGCGTGTGCTTATGCGTATGCGCTGGCTCCGAGACGTCCGCAGGCAGAAATGGAGGCAGTCCAGGCGAGGTGGATGTAGTGTGATATGAGTAGATGCAATGCAGGCAGGCCGAAACAACAAAACAAGGACACGCAGAGCAGAGCTGGGCTGAATGGCAGTCGGGGAATAGGTCGACGAACTACCTGAGGCATACGCGATCATACGCTATGACGGATGACGGAGCTCGAACGGGGGGCGCAGCGCGGCACGGCACGGACCGAGAGTGGCTGTGAAAGCTGGTCTGTGCTCGCATGCACATGCACATGCACGTGCGAGCGGCGTCCCAACGTCCATCTCAATCCCCAAAGAGAACTTGATCAGCAACAACACACATCATGGAGATCATGGCCTCGCGTTCAACACGGCCAGTCAAGTCCATCCTCAAACAGCCCACGAAAAAGCCACCCGTGCTGTCCGATGAGCAGAAGGCGCAGGCAGAAAAGGATCGACGGAATTTGAATATCGCCCTTGCCCATGCCCACAGAATACAGCGTCAAAAAGACGCAGAGTCACATATCTTGAGCTCGATCACATTTCTCATCGATCTTCCGGCGGCCTCCGCCTTCACGAGCAAGGACGCCGCCGCATTCGTTCAGCATGTGCGTCTCTTTCAGCCTTCCGACTTTGACAGCCTCGTCGAAGAGCGCCGCATCGATGGCAAATGTGGGTACACGTTGTGTCGGAATAAGCCGCGCATCCACACCATGGGCACCAGCGCAGAGTGGAAGCTGAAGAGGGGCATGAGCGATTACTGCAGTAATGAGTGCGCCAAGAAAAATCTCTTCGTCAGGACTCAGCTCAGTGAGGTTCCTGCCTGGGAGCGTGCGCCTGAGCAGCAACCAGAAATTCAACTGCACGCAGACGACAGCCCTCCAGATGATGACACTGCTGTGAGGCGGGCGAATCGAGCTGCTCGTGTTGATGCGTGGCGGCAGAAGGTTGCGGATGAAAAGGAATTGGCTGCGGAGAGAGGAGAAACTACTACGTCCTTCCGGCCAAAGCAAGTCATGGCCGACGGCATAGTCGAGAAGCGACCATCAAAGAAGCCTCCACGCGCTCCAGACTCCGATGAAATCGAACGCATGGCTGGCGCAATTGAAGGATTCACGCCAAGACCGCTTGGGAAGAACCCATGGAGCACGACCAAGGCACTCACAGATGAAGACCATGAAGACGATGACGACGATAACGACGACTGAATGACTGGTATTTGCATCTTTTCAAGCATTACTCGCGAGATACCAACAAACCGCATTGAGAACGGTGTCATAGCAAGGAATCCCAATTTGTAAAAACATCATGCCGCCGTCGGGGAAATCACGACCCGTCGAGTTGACAATGCCTTCTTCGCGAACACCTCATGTGCTCATTGAACTTCAGGAAGCGTGCTCTTCACATTGTCCGTGATTGCCCAGCGTGCCATTTGGTGAAAAGTAGGCACCAAGGATGAGCTACATTAAGCCCACTCGAGTACCGAACGACGATTGCCAAGCCGAGGGCCTCAAGTACACGAATTGCTTCACTCGCGAAATTGTGAAACGGGTGAGGTGAATCGAATCGATCATCGGGTAGGACAGAGCAACAGAGTCGCGCTGTGAGAACAATCATCATCCAACCCTTCAAACGGACTTTAGACGTATGAGAGCAATAATGAGGACCTCGTAAGACACATGGAGCAATTGAAGCGGACTGAACAGCACAGAGAAGTAGAATTGCTTAACGCTCGACGAACTTTTTAGAAATGGCAGAATCACTTCGTGCCCCCAGCCACCGCCCAGCAAGCAGATGCAAAACCCCATCCTGCGAACCAAACCATGGCTGACCAAATCCCCAATTTCAAGGGTCAGCCTGCTCCCACCCCTCCGCCTGGTCGTCCTCATGCCCATTCGGATACAACTGCGCAATCCTCGCGATATCCCCCTCGCTGATGCGACAACTGCTATAATCATATTTCCGCGTCTCGGGATCAACCGTGATAGAAGCTGGAAGAATCTCTTTATATTTCGCTTTCCCAGCCTCATCACGATACTGTCGCCGAATCCACGCCAATTGAGGGAACTTGACTTTTTCCGGTTGTTCGGAAAGACGTTTCTCGCCGCGGTAAGATGGATACATCACTGAAAGAAATTAGTAAGTGTTGGTTGGATCAAGGAGAAAGGGCAGAACTTGCTGATCGAATTCCAATCGAGGTCCTGCGACCAGACGTTTGCGCCGAGGACGTGTGCGGGTTTTGGAATCAGAGCTGTCGCGCTGAACCCGTAGCGGCGGGCCACGGCGAGGTCTCCACATCTGTGATCTGGTCAGCTTACCTCGCTCTGCAGAACTCTGCCTCTTCGCTTACGCTTTCTCGAATGTATCGCCCTCTTCATACGCCTCCGGATCTCGATCTGCAATCCTGTGATGCACAGAATCCGCATCTTCAAGCATACCACAACTCCACCGAAACCCCTCCTTCGCAGCATCTGGTCTCTGATGTTCATGATCAAGTCCTGGAATCTGTGTCAGCCCACCAAATCCACATATACCCCCAAAAAGGCATATATATATCTCTCTCTCTTACCAGCAACATGTCCCAACTCATGCGCAATCCTAAAAACCCCAGTATTTAGCCACATCCACCCACACCTCTATCAATCAATCAATCAATGAATACATACCCACAAACATCCCAACTCCGACTAAACCCCATTTTCTCCTCATCCCTCCTCACCCCCAAAATATGATAAACAAATCTCCCCTCCTCATTCCTCTCCCTCTCCTGACTCTCCACATACGTATGTCCCTGCGTCGCCGCCGTCTTCCCATATTCATCATCCGTCACATCGACAATCGCAAGGACATCCCAATGCGTGCGTTTACTGCAAATGCAATGCCATTCGTCGGCTCCGCAATCGGGTTCGATGGTTAGGGTGGAAACTGCTGATGCCTGAGTTGGAGGGTTAGGAAAATTTCGTGGAGACGAGGGTGCGTGTTCTTACCGGGGCCCAGAGTTGGACTGCGTCGCGGATCAGGTCGTGGAGGGTTTTGTAGGAGGCTTCGTCTTCGAAGCAGAAGCGGATCGGGGTGGAGCCGGCGTCATCGACGGCGGGCCATGGACCGGGGAGGAGTTGGGTGTCTTCGCGGAGGTGGTCGACGCTGTACCAGCGTTTCTTTGTAAGGGTCGAGGTGGTATTTGAGCTGTGGTGGTGTGGTAGCTCGCAGGCGTATGCCAGTGAGAGGAGGGCGAGGAGGAGGAAGAGTGCCAACGACATGGCTGCTTGTATAGTGGTATACTGTATGTGTACTGGTATACAAGTGTCCTTGGGTCTGTGTCCAAGGTATGTGCGTCGAAGGTGTGTGTGTCTATTGTTTGGTCGTAATGCTCGAGGCGAGGCATGATATAGGTGTGCTCGTGCGCATTCATGCGAGACTGTCACATGCAGCAGCACATGCAGTACCTGCACATGAACAGAATGTGAGGCTGACTACTAGTCGGCAATGAAGTGAAGGCATACTGAGGCTCAATGCGAGTCTTGTTTGAAGTTATCTGATCTGCTTGTGAGGAATGGTATAGACAATCCGTGAGCTCCTTGTCGTCTTTATAAGTCAACATCCCACGATACCTTTCACTTTGCTTGCTAGGACAAGCCAATAGAGTTCCAAAGTAGCATCTCGAGGGTTCGCTCATTACAGGACAAGGCTTTCATGGTCTGGGGCGTCCTCCATGAGTCTCCTGAGTACATTGAACCAATTCTTCGAGTTTGACCTTGCAATTGATATCTCTATCCACAGACTTTCGTATCAGTCCTAAACCGCGTGGCCACGAGTAAACTTCAAAGCGGATCGCGCTTTGTGCGAGCGAGTACATGTACTCTGAACTTCTCACTCAAGTTCCGAAAGCATCTCATCTTCTCCAAGCAGCTAATCCAGATGTCCAGTCAAAAGCGAGTTTAACTTTTCGTGCGAGTGAGTTCTCTTCCGCGAGCTTTTTCATCCCAATGCTAATCCAGGCTGACAGGCGAGTAGGTACAGAGCGAATAGAGTTCTGCATATCTTTGGCTTGTGCATCTAACCAAGGAGACGGGGACGAGCGATCGAATGGGTTGTTATGCTTGAAATTGTAGCAGTAGGAGGGATAATAGCGCTCACGTTGCATTCTGATGATAGCGCCGCCATTTTAGCCGTGGTCCTAGATGAAGCTCCTGATGAGGACGTGTCTGCTGTACTGTACTGCAGTAGCTCGGAAAAGGGTTCGGTTCAGCGCGAGTTCATTGATCCAAGTAAGGTGCCTCCAAGAACTTCCCGACACTTCTTAGAAAGCCAACTGAGCTCCACTTGCCTCTTGGTCTGCTCCTGGCGCCATTCAATTATGTACCACCCTTGTAGACACTAATCTGACAATTGCCTGAGCGTCTTGATTCGCTGCGAAATAAGGAGTCAGAGAGGATCTTAATTCTGAGTGAGTGAATGTACGAGAATGCGCACCTCGCATGCCGAACACACACAGCGTTCCATCGTCACGCATCTCCTCCCTTCATACGGGTATGCTCTTGATACCACAGACAGACGTATCTGAAGCGTAGAGTTCGAAAGTGATTCCACCCCAACGCAATCAAACTTCCTCTATCTACCACAGTTGAACGGGATACAACCGCTTGATTCCCTCGATATCGCCCACACTAATTCTGATCGCGCTCCACGGCCCAGTATGATCAATGGGATCCTGCTGTTCCCTACCCGGAACGATCTCCCAAATATTTTCAGGATCCGTCATTGAGAATCCCAGCAGGAGAGCCTTATGCAGGTCGGTCTCCAGCAGGTTCTGAAAGGATGAGTAAATCATGATGGAAGTGTCTGGGAATATGCGTCAATATTGTTGTCTGTGATTGATATTGGGAAGTCTGGCTGGACTTGCAGTCAAATTCTCTCGATCCCATTCTTGCTCCAATCATCTCGTTATCCCAGCCTGGTTCGGGTAGGTAATGCCTTGAGCTGGCACGATAGCGTAGCGCAGTCATGAAGTCGTAACATCTGGTTTGACCTGAGCAATTTGTACGCGTTGTGCATGGGGAGTTGATACTTACATGTCTTCGACTGTGTCCCCGTCTTGGTACATGGGCTGCCGCTTCTCAGCAATCATCTGTTGCCACTGAGATCTTGTCAATATACCTACGGCCAAAACCGTGTAAGCATACTCACCAGTGGATATTCGATGTGATGATGACAATTGAATTCTACATATTTCGCTGCGTCCGCTCTCTGATGTTCGTGTTGGAGCCCGAACTGGTGTCCTGCAGTGAATCAGTATGCATACATCACAAATAGACAAGATGTCTTACCAAGCTCGTGAGCAAGATGTTTCTGAGGATTATTAGTATACTCTTGCTCAGTAATACATTTGTGACATTGTGCCTGACTCACAGCCATGTACAGACCAAAAGTGGGATCACAATGAATCTCGTTGCCGTATGCAGAGCCTTTCGGTCGAGTCGGAACATATCCGATTCTGCTCGCGAAACAGGTGCCATCATTGCGGGTATTGACGCGGAGAATATCGGCAGGCACCTGGGACTCGTCGTCACAGACAGGAATGGCTGGTTCGTCACCGTAAGGTTTCACTTCAAGCGTTGACACTTTGAATGCTGGCTCCTAGAGCTTGATGGCTTCTTCCATGTGCTCCCCGAGGGCCAACCAGGCTTCGGCGGTCGCGACTGTCGAGCTCACGTTAGTCCTACTCTGGACATGAAGATGTACCAAGGTCCTCTTACAGCAGTATCGCACCACCGTTGTGTCCACTTGTCCTGGAGGCCACAGCGGCCAGGGAGCACCGGTTTGTGGCAGTCTCGCGTAGTTAGACACCGCCCACCATCGTTTCTCATTGTTGGAGCCCTGGTCTGGTTCTTCCAATGGAGGACAGGCTGTTGCAAGCGCCGCGAGTGCTAGCAGCAAGAGAGCTGTCGCAAGCCGATGGAGGCCCATGCTGCGGTCTGTCCGCGGATTGGTCGGCAAGGGTTACTTGTCATATGTTGAGTTCATCCTGAGCTTGATATGGGTAAAGGTATATGTCCGAGGTTGAGTGTCGAGGTTCAGTGCAATCATCGCGATCGAGACATGTCCAAACCTTGTTCGTGGTTCAGCAAAGTGAAGCTTTCGGAGACTCATATGAGGTCAAATGTAAGTTGCAAATCAGGCTAACCGCACTCACGTAGCTGGGCATGTGATCGAAATCAAGTGAGCATTGTGCTATTTGACCGCTCAGAAGTGAATTCGTGAGTACCCCAAGGGTTCATAGGGAAGTAGTGAGGTCGCGGAAAGCTCGGGTGGTCAATAACCAGTCCCTGTGATAGCATTATATCAATTACAGTGGTATCCATACACAGTAGAAGGAGCATGGTCCAGGTCATTCTCGACCAAAGCCGAGTATCATCTTCACCTACCACGCTGAACGCCAACCAAATGCATATTTTGGTCTGCCTATCTGTTCGGCCGCCATGAACAGCAATCAATGCATAATTATGGTATCATCTCGTCACTTCGAAGCAGACGAGTTCGCAGCACTTTCTCGCTTCCGCCGCCGACGTTCTCGAGCAGAAGCCCTTAGAGCATCCTGTGTTATGTACTCGGAAGGCAATTCGAATTCCTTCTCCTCCATTTCGGGAAGCGGAAGGCCAAAAGCAGTCACGTTGCGGCCATGTCGCGTCTTGCTGAGAGCAGCGTCGCGGAGATGAGGCTTGGCATAGAAGCTGGTGATCGGAAGTTCGGGACTGGGAGGCGCAGGCGGCAGCATCAGCTTGATGGGAGCAGGTGTAGCAGGAGTGGCGGAATGGGATGTCGACGCGTAGCCTGAGGCATGCGCACGATCTTTTCCTTTGCCGCTGGCCTTGGGTCGGAGAGCATTCACGGTCTCTTGCTGAAGCTGTCTTGCAGCAGAGGCATTGAGGTCGCTGCTAGGGGGCTCAACGCTTCCTTCTGTGGTATTGCCCTCCTCGTCTTCAGCATCCTTGGCAGCCTGGGCGGCCTCCTTCACGAGACGCAACTTCTTTTCCTGGTCCTTCCACTGTTTGAACTTGTCGACCAACGCTTGCACCTCAGCGATGAAATAATCTCGCTTTGGCTCGTACTTTTTCGCTTCCGTCTCGGTGACTCCAGTAATGCCAAGCACGCGTAGCCAGTCGTGACCCAGCAGTCCATCAAGGAGTCGGTCCAACTGCACCTTCTCATGCATAGCACGCTCGCGCTCAATGTTCCTCAGCTGCTTCTCCTTCCGCTCGGCTCGCTTGTGGGACTTGAGGAAGTAGTCGTCGGTGAGGGGATCTTGTGGATTGTCGGGTAGATTGTTGGACACGAAGTCTAGGTTCAGACTGGGGCTGCCATTGAACTGGGTGGACAAGCTCCGTTGCGGCGTGGCAGGTGGACCAGCAGCGCCATTAACAGACGGCTTCCGCGCGTGCGAAGAAGCTTTGCTCGACTTTGCAGGCGACGAGTCTTCCTTCTTGGCATCGTCTGTGATGTACAACAGCGTGTCTGTGGTCACGAAATCCTGCTCTTTGGGCACATCGAATATGATGTCCTCATAATGGGGAAAGTAGACGGCCAACTCGCTCTTCAGCCTCGGGCCCTCATCGCGACTTCTCAAAGACCTTTTCTCCTCCTGCTTCTGCTGCGGCTGCACTGTCGCGGGCGTGGAGGGCTGGGGTGGCGGGGCGGGACTGTTGCTGGGTCGGGGTGGTGCTGCTCCTGCTACTGCTTGTGCTCGCTCGGGCTTACGAGACGGACGCAGCAGCTCGTCTTCGTCAGCGACCAGGGTGCGGCGGACACCATTCACCGTTTGCTGCAATCGGCCGTGTGGTTCTCGCCGTACGATCTTGGTCGGCGGTTCCAGCTGCGTGCTGGCCAGGAACGCGTCGAGGGTGCTCTGTTTGCCGGATGGGTGACTGTGAGTCTGGCTCAGCTTTCGCCGCTTTGCAGGCGGTTGGCCTCCGATGTCATCTTCCCCCAGCATCCCATCGCTGCTATCGCTGTTCGGGACCTCGCGTTCTCGGGCGGGGGATGCTACGTTGGGGGCATGGCGGTGATGCGTGCCGTCGTCGCGTGGTGACGGGGGGTGGGCGGTGCGTCGTTGATGCCGGTGCTGGTGCTGGTGCTTTGCCGTCTCGGCCGACGCGCTTGTCGTGGGCGCAAAATATTGGCCTGCGGGCGCTCGCACAACGCCATTTGTCGACGTCGCTGGCATTGCCGGCGAGAAAGATCATATTGCGACGGCGTTTTCGCGCTTCGTTGGTCGCTGTCAGGCGGGCCCGAGCACACCAACGATGTGGAAGTTCACTGCATGCTTTCCCTCTGCGACCGTTCAGGCTTGGTTTGGTCCTCCCTGCGCAAGCAAAGGTCCGATCGATAGAATATTTGCCAGCATGCACACAATCAATTCCACTGCACCCACTTTTGACGTTCACCACCTTCAAAGAATGCATTGCCGACAACGACACGCGTGACTAAGCGATTTGGTTGCCAACCGCCAATGCATCCGTGTACGGGGCTTCTATCTCCAATATCCTATGCCTTTTCCCTCCCTCCCACCCCCTCCATTCCTCATCACTTCACATCATCATCGACGCTCGACGACCGCTATTCTACTTCATGAATTTCGAAGCCATGTTCAGCAGACCACCCAGTCCGCCGCCAGAGCCACCGCCGCTCGATCCCCCGCCCATCTCCGACTTCATGTACATTTTGAGCGCCATCTGTGCTGCACTGGCCACTGCATTCTGCTTGCTGGCTCCATCTTGCACATTGCCTTGCGAAGATTGCTGGTCGAACAGCTTGGCAGCCTGCGATACGCCAGTCAGCGAACATCCGATCCGCTGCAAAGAGACCGGACAGCTTCTTCCACTTACCTGGCCCATGGCCATTCCAATGAACGCGTTTTGACCTCCACCAGATCCTCCACCAGATCCTCCCTGGTTGAACATCTTCAAGGCCTGCATTGCTGCTGCTCCTCCGATGGAGTGAGAGTTTGCTGGTGCTCCTCCGCTGCCTCCATCTCCATAGAACTGCTGATGCTGTCTCACGGCTTCATCTTCGTCGAAGCCCTCGTTCTGAGCCTGCTGGTGCTTTCCGGAGAGCATGCCCAAAGCGGAGCTAAAGAGGTCCGAATCACCACTGCTACCAGCGTGTTGCTGAGCGTGTGATGCAGCACCAGAGAAATCGTCCGACGCTGCCCCATACGCACCACCGCCGCCGTATGAAGTGCCACTGGAGTCGCCATGTCCCTCGCCATGACGTCGTCCTTCCGAGTAGGAGCCTTCCTGACGACCGTGGTCGGACTGATGTCCATATCCACCTTCTTGCCGACCACCATAAGAATCGCCGCCTCCTTGACCTCCACTATTGTCGTCACGGCCACCGTCACCGCCATAGCTGTCATCGCCACGACGGTTCTGACGGCCTCCCCCATAGCTATCATCTTGCCGGCCGCCTCCATAGTCGTCTCGGCGATCGTCGCCATATCCTCCGCCTTGACGGCCATAATTGTCTGTGTGATGGCGGTTAGTACCACGCATTGGATTCTGCGAGTGGGACTGCCATAGTTGGCACGACCCTGATCGTCAATCATATTTACCTCCTTGGCCGCCTCCGTAGCTGTCGTTATAGCTCATGATGATTGCTTCGTTGGAATTGATTAAATCGCCTGCGTGGAGTAAGCTTCAGTGTCCTCCACAGAGACTCAGAAAAGGAGCACTCTTACCTTGTTTGAAGGAGTCTTGAGTCGAAGTCTTCGCGGTGAGATTTTGTTTCAAGGACAAGTTACCACGAAAACTGCACTATGCAATACAGCTCACAGCATTCGCAGCTGTCCATCCCACAAACCTGGTTCACCAAGCCCCGCTGACATCACGATCACCCCTCCAACCAGACACCACGCGCCTCGCGTAACTTAACATTCACTTGATCTCGTGAACTCTAAAACAAGAAACTTGTGATACCAAACTGACGCGAGAAGACATCACTGGTGGGTGTGCAAAAAGCTAAGGAAAAGGGCAAGTAGCAATGACATTTCATCAACACTTTTTCTCCCTTCCACTTCACTTCGAAACCCAACTAAGCACTTTTAACCCCACCAACTTGATCCCGCAAGAACAGAAACCAGAAACCCACCAACTGAAAACCCCCAAGTCAAAAAAATGGTCAACTGGACAATCTTCACCGCCACATCCCTCGCCCTCCTCTCAATCTTCGCAGCATACATCTACCTCTTCGGTCTCCCCCCCCGAACTGAAACGAGAACTTGAGAAAAAGGCCTTGAAAACGATGGGAGAAGTAAGTCCTTCCGCTCCTCCTCCCTACCCCTTTTCTTGAAAATTTTTTTTTTGTTTCGCTCACGTTTTTTTTTTCGCCTCCCAAGAACAAAGCTTCGTATTTGGTGCAATCACAAATCTCTAAAGTCCCGGACTCGGATCAAGAAGATGTGAAAAATGTGAAGAAAGGGTTGGGGGATTTGGGGGGTGGTGCTTTCAAGAATCCGCTTGGAGAGGTGGTTGGGGAGGGGGCTGAGGAGGGGACGAGGCCTGTTACCGGACGGTGAGATGGGGATTGGTGGGAGGTTGGAAGGGATGTGTGAGTGTGTGAGATGATTTCTATGAGCTTGAGCGGGGAGTGATGGCCGAGAAGCGGGGCGTTTATGCGTAATATCATGGCCTGGGTATCTATGCGTGAAAAGCTAGTTCGTGATCGTTATGCGCCGTCATCATTTCCTCTTCCTCGTACTTTCATCCAGCCGCTGTTGGCCTTCTCTTTCTTCTTCGCTTCGGAAGCGCTCGAAAGTCTCTCATCCTCGGCGCCGTCGTGTGGAGCTACTGTCATGATGCTCATCGTTGCAGCGTGTTTGCTTTCGTAGGGCCGCCGTGAGCCTCCCACGAGTACTGGTCTTTCGTCCTCTCGATCCTCGTCCCATTCGTCTTCTTTCACCATTTCCCATTCTGCTCCAGACATTTCGCTCGCGAGAAACTGGAGCAGCTTGTCTGCAAGCCGTGTGGAGGAGCCAATCTTCCAGTCCCTCATGTACAGCAACCCTTCTGCGCTGGCCAGGTTGTGCTCGGCTGAGTTGTGAGAGAATACGCCCAGCCGAGTGCCTTGATCTTCTTTGCCGGATGCTGTGGTTACCTTGCTTGAAGTTCCAGTCTGCTTACGACTCATTGATGGCTTTCGCGATGAGGACATGAGAAGTTGGTAGAGGTTCTTGCCGATAGCGCAGACCTCGTCAAAATTGTTGATGCTGTCCATACCTTGTGTCTTGCAAAGCCACGCAACATTGTAGGCCAGCATCGTAACGCCTTCTATGAAGAGTTTGTAGGCTTTCTTGCTCTCCTCTTCTTTGGCAAGCTGTCCCAGAGGTCGATCTAACCATAGCGGCCTAGGGCGTGGCTGATCTTGCTCGAGAACACGGGATGCCATCGGGCTAGAATGCTGGCTCGAATATGAGCTTGGGAACTTGATCTCCTTCGATTTGTAGCTGGACTTCTCGGGCATAATGGCAGCCCGCGGGAAGTTCTCGTGCGGAACCAGAAGTTCGCCAGGCAAGCGAAGAGAGAGATAGTGAGAGCAGAGGTTGACGAGCCGGGCCACGTTCTCGTAGACTTCCGACACGAGATCGTGTGGTTCAGCAAGAGTTCTGCCGCCAACTAACGGTGCCTTTGCCGACGGATGTGTCCTTGTGGTGATCTCTCGGAGATCTGGTATTACCAGCCCTCCAAGCCTGTACTCTGATCGGCCACTAGACGATCTATGCCGACTGAGGTTCATAGCGACTGCAGCTTCATGACAAAGCAACAGCCTCGCATCCACGATCCGGCTGCGAACTTTCTCCAACCTCGCATATGTCTTCTTCGTAGTATTGTGCACAGGCTCGATAGCTCTGGGCTTCGATTTCTCAAGCTCCGTCTTCTGTGCCACAAGCTCCTTGCGGGCATCCGCTTTCGCCTCTTTGCGAACATCGATGGTCTTACGATACTCCTCGATCTGTTTGCGTAGCTCCGCGGCCTTCTCGACAATGGCGTTGATGCGGAACTCAGTAGCCGCTTGCTGTGCTTGAGCACGCTCGGCGCTATTCTTTCGAATACTGGTAGTAACAGTATCAAAGTCCACATCTTGCGGCAGCGACGCAAGTACCCCATCGTTCCCCGGTCTCAAGATGGCTTCGGCGTGAGCATGATGCTTCTCTCGCTCGAGTAGTCCGGTGGCTTGCTGGATGCGGGAGCCATATAATATAGCTTGCGCACAGGAGGGACAGAGCGGTTTTCGCCGTCCACCGAATGCGCGCGCGCATACATCGCACCCGATGTCTTCCTCCGCCATCACCGTCTCGTCAACACTTTAGCCTGATGTATTCTGTCCTGGAACAGCGGGTAGTGCTGCTTTAGCATTTTGGTGATCTGTCGGCCGGAGTCTGCTTTATTGTCTTGAGGTTGAAAGCGACATGACCGGGTGCTAGGCCAACATATTCGAGGAGCTTCGGCGCTTTGTCAGTGAATGAATGTTGAAAGTGGCAGCAGACGGCGAAGTTGAGGTCATCGCCATTGCCGTTGCTGGAGTTGGATTTGGCATGTGATCTCGCGCTTGCGGGCCGATGCGCCACGCGACTTCCCGTCTTTCACGCGACCTGCTCATCCTGGACTTTGCCTCACATGGCAGCATGAACAGCGGCAACATGTCTGCAGAAGCTCTGACAAGCGACATATCCGGCGCTCAAGAGCAATCGGACGTGGCAAAGCAAGGAACGGCTCCCTTCGAGAGCACCTCGCCGCTGACCACGCCGCCATCGTCGCCCCTCTCGATCGCTTTTCATCCCAAGTCGGAGGTCATGGCGGAGAATCACACTTCGCAGTCGATGCCGCCTCCGCCAAAGCCAGAGGCCGGCTCGAAGCGCAAGCGCTCCCGTGACGGTGAGAAGGCAGAGCCCGAGACCTCACCGACTGCATCTGCATCTGCATCTGCATCTGCATCTGCCGATACCTCTCAGCCTGCTCCTGAAAGCAAGCACGACCCAGCCGATGCGGACTCTGCCGCAACCACAATGTCTGACGCACACATCGGGGGCCGTTCACAGCGTCTCAAAGGAAATGCCGCGGCTTCCAGTGCGCCTTCCAATCAAGGCGCCCACAAGTCCAAGGCGAAGACCACGAAGAAGAAGAAAGCCGAACGGAAGAAGCCCGTCGAGACAGACGTCAGTGACGAGGCCGATGACGCCGAGAAAGACGACGACGACGAGTCTCAACATGGCTCAGAGTTCTCCGACTCCGCTGATGAAGCTTTCCCAGAAGTGGCGCTCCGTGGGTTTGATTGGAACGACCTGCAGCACCGCTATCGTGCTCGAATGGATGAGCTGAATCGCGAGGAGAACAAAGTACTTGAGGATTTCAATCGGCTCATCGGCGTACGCTTCCTCATCTCTCGGGCACTGTTCCTGGCTGACCCCTTTGCAGTATTTCAGCATCTGGGCCGATGTTGGAAGCGGGCAGGAACTCCACCGTGGCTCTAAGCGGTATGCACAGGGTACCCTGTCATTTGCGACGCTCACACGCAGCTAAACGTCGCTAGGCTCAGAACCCAGCTCGTGTACGTGCAGCACGAGGAAGAACAACTCGAGAAGAAGCGACAGCATTGTAAGCGATCATTGCCCAGTAGCTGTTTCATCTTTGCTCACTTTCCTTGCAGACATTCAGGTCGTCGACGCATTCAAGAGTGCGCTTGCTCTTCTCCAATCGTAGTGGACTTCGGGTAACCTGATTTTTAGCTGTCCGCGTGTTGTTGAGCAAACCTGACTGGGCAAAGGACACTGTGCCGAGCCAACGACGCATGTCGGACTTGCAAGAGTCGATCAATCTTGATGGAAAAGCAAAGTCGACACCGGCGAGGCGCTCGCGAACAACGCCACTATTACAATTGGAAGATTGGTCGACGCGTGTGGCCGGTGATATCGACATGCAAGTCTACGAGCGCGCACACTTTCATGCAACACGATGCACTATTCTATGATTTGTTTGAGCGGAATTTCGGTCTTCTATGAGGTGGACCTGTGAGCATATTGGTTGAGCATGATACCCACTTGCTGTTTATATTTGATTCGATTGCAAAGGAAGAGGAACCCGGGCTACACTGTCCGATTCAACCTGCTTGCTCCATGATGATGAATTCCGCAAGGAAGCTATCGTTGCGAATGAGAAAGCGGGGATGACACACAAAACCTCTCGCTTCAACTACAACGTCAACTCGCATGTTCATGGTCCACATCAAAATGGCCTCTTATATCCATCTTCGAGATCGATAATAGCACCATCGACGCTGTGCAGTCTTACCCTGCCCATATTCCGGGCGATTCATGCTTAGTCATCGATCTGAACCAGAGTGTGATCCAAATCTTGCTTTCGCTCATTCTCTCTTGGAGCCAAACACAATTATGGCGGAAATGGCTACAACAAATCCCTCTGTGAACTGAAACGACGATACAATGACCGGGGACTGCCACGCTCGCAATGGGAACGCTGACCTTCCATTTTCCTGCTCGGCTGTCGAGGTCGCCCGGAGGCGATCCCGCCAGCCACCAAAAAGTCAACGGAGTCCAGACAACTCGTGCAAGCCAAACATAAACATAATCTACTGTCACGTGTGCATGAGGGTCCGGTAAGGTCTCACTAAAGTGTTCTTAGCTCTCTCGCTTCGGCGGACCTGAAGGCTTGCTTTCACTGTTCCCACCTCGACAACGTCCAAATTAACCACAAGCTCGTAACAAATGCAAGGGGCGTACAAAAAATCCTACAACACGATGGACCAGGAGAAGCAGCCAGAGATCGAGATGCACGCTGTGAGGTCGCTGACGCGCCGGAAATCTCGAAGACATCTTTTGAGTCTTGCGCTTCTAGCATCAACGATCATTGTTGCAGTACTGCTTCTTTTCGGGCAATCAAACAGTCACAAAGGTAAGAGCAGCCGTTTCGAACAATTTCCAACCCCGTCCAGCTCACAACCTCAGCAGCTGTACCAGCAGTTCCGCTCGGCACTGCTTTCGATCCAATTGGCGGCGGTGTCAAACTTCGCATCATGGCTCTTGGTGACTCTATCACAGCTGGCACCGTGAGCGCTGATGGAATTGAAAGCGCAAGCTCTCGTTCTAACGGCTACCGCCTTTTCCTTCGTAACAGCATCATGGAAACAGGTACAACCTTGCTAGATTGCATGTTGATCCACGTCACTTACTCAATCATTAGGTGTGCAAGATGCTGATATCGACTTCATTGGCTCACGAGTACCGCCGAAGGACGACCAGGCGACTCTTGCCATGCCGGACAATCAGAACGAAGGATGGCCTAACGAAAAGATCAACAAGATCCTAGCCCATGTAATGAAGAACAGGCGTCTACTAGATCGCCCAAATCTAGTCCTGATCCATGCCGGCACCAACGACATGAACGACTCTCCCGAAAATGCACCGTGGACACAGGCTCATCTTCGACTTGGTGCCATGGTCGACGAAGTCTTGTGCCAGGTTCCAGAAGCGGTAGTAATCATTTCTAAGATCATCAGAAATGACTGGCAACAAGCTCGAACTGACGAGTACAATGCAAAACTCCCGCAAGTAGTCGCAGATCGTCGCAAAGCTGGCTACAAGGTCTTGCTCGCTGACCACTCTGCAATCACTCCCGGTCCTGACAAGACGCACCCAAGCGATGCTGGCTACAAACAGATGGCCGCGAATTGGATGGAGACACTCGACACGATACCGGCTGGCTGGATTCAGGAACCTCAAGCTGCGGTGAAGACTGCAAATATTTGCCACAGTACTGAGGGCTCGCCATTCAATTGGCATGAGGAATTTGAACAGTCTTTGCATTCATAAATGAGTTGAACGCATGAAGAATAAATTCTTCGGCCACAGCGATGAAGCACATGTTGGACTTCATCGTTCAAACCATACTTGAAGCTGATATGGCCCGAGCACGCAATGGTTCATAGATGTATCCTCCTCGCTCAGGAGCTTCGAGCAAGGCGGTTCAAGGCTGAAAGCACGCAGCACGGAGATGCTAATATGGAGTCGATACAACTCGTAGTAATGGGTCAATGATGGCTTACTCATAGATGGGCTCAAGAATTTGCAAAATCCTGACTCTGCTCAGTGTACGAAGAGCTCTTGGATGCATGCACAGTGAGCATGAAGGAGGCAAAAAAGGTCGAAAATCGAGACCGTCAGACGACACCTATGAGAAAGGACAATGTTTGGAATCATTGTGGCTTTGGAGATGAGAATGATGGAGAAAGTCATATTGAAGTCTATTGAAGGATATCATTCGGAAGGTATTGGTCATATAAAGCCATCACCCTCTTCCCATTTTCTCCCAAGTTCTTCCGCCCGCAGCTTCGGATTGTTGCCCCTTTCTTTCGCAATCGTCAACATCCTCTTGATCTCAATGTCGATATCTTCAATCGCCTTCCTAAAGCTCACCCGCCTCTTCGCCTCAGCGTCTGGCAAGTCGTACTTCCCATCCTCACTCGCCTCAATGCCTTCCCGTCCCTTCGCATTAATTTCGTCAACACCCTGAATCAACCTATCCTTGCCTGACTGCAACCTGACATACTTCAAATACTCCGCCTCCCCACCGAAACACAACCCAAACCCATCACAATAACAAGACCATGACGCCGGACAGTACACATGCTCACCCTTGAAAATGAACTGCCACAAATACTCAAAAAAGAACCCCATCCCACCCATCTTGGTCTCCAACAACCAACTCCTCCACCGCTTAAACGTCTCCAAAGGAATCTGCCGAACGCGTTCCTTCGAAACCGCGAACTGGGCACAACACGACCCTCCCAAAATCTGCGGCAGAGGATATTCAGGAAACAAAGCCTTCCATGCCTCAATATGGGATCCAAACGGCACACCCTCAGCAGGTCGCATTTGAGCCGTACACTCTCCCGTCTTCCACGCGCCGCAGTTCAAATTCATGTACCCTTCGCGCATCACCCGCTGAGGATTCAGATTATTGACGAGGTCGGCCGTCATGCCCATCATGGCGGGATTATGGTGCGTACGGGCGTGAGCGTGAATGAAAATCATGATTTCTGGAAGTCGGTCGTAGTGGTCGATGATGAAGGTCAGGTAGGTCATGACTTCGTTGAATTTGTTTTTGGGGACGGTGAGGATGGCGTCGGGGTCGTCGTTTACGTAGATGTAGGCGTCCACGTCGGGGACGCTTTGAGCGATCCATGATGTGTTTTCTTTTTTGATGGAAGAGACGATCAGGGCTTTGCGATAGGTTTTGTGGGGGTCCGCTTTGCCGGGGATGTAGCTTGGTTTGGTTTTGGGGGTTGAGATTGCGGCTATTGTTGCTGTGACGGTGGTTGTGACTGTGGTGGTGGGTTCTTGGATGACTTGTTGGAGGGGTGATTTGATCCAGTGTTGCGCTCGCTGGAGAGGTGATGCATCGGTGGACTGTAGAGGTGAGGATGAGGATTGTATGAATAGAATGGTGAACAGAGAGAGTACGAGGCTGGGGATTGCCCATCGCATTACATTCGTCGTCTTCATGGCTAACATGACTGCCAGAGGGATTCAAGACGACTGGCAGCAAGTGAATGGAGCACATCTCCCCAGGACGATTTCTTGATACGGTACGCCATCACGTGCGAAGATGTCTAGACCAGCTCCTTCCCCTGCGGGCGGACCCGAAAGCTCGCTGATGATGGGCTTGCATGTGCCTGTGAAAGGCATCGACTTTTGGCAATCGAGCAGAGCGATATCCAGCACCCCTGTTTATTCTATTGTAGTAAGCCTAAACTTGGCGCTGTCAATAACGCCTTCGCTTGTTGCGACGACACTACATACTCACTACCCAGTTAGGCCTGGTCATACCCACATTACTATACCACCATATCTAGCCGTTGCACGACTCTTATCAACTTCAGCTCGCGCCTACGAAGCATGATTGCCACTAGGCCCTTCTGCCGCAGCTCTGTCTCAATCTGGGCGAATAAAAGTTGCACAGAATCGTGGGCCACTCCTATCAGTGGTGCTTGAGCTGATCATGTGAATCATGTCATCGCCATTACTAGACCCGGCGCTACCCCTGGATGGGCCTGCTATCCGGACGCTCCATGTCTGCAGACGCACCGCGTGCCCGGCCCTGCCGAGACCAGCGCCATCATGAGAGTGATGAGCTGTTTCCGCCAGACTGAGTCGCCAGCGTGGATGCAAAGTCAAGGGCAAGCCCGCCAGCCCCAGCTCAATGGTACCTTCGGGGCCGTATCTCCATCCGAGATCTTTGGGAATCTCTCCTGCGTGATTATACCGGGCTGAGAAGTTTCTTCTAGACTTAACCCATTCGGACACAGAAGGAGTGGGCACCTGGGCACCGTGTCTAGACACGCATTGGCTGTGATCACGCAGTTTCAACCAGCAGCATCAACTGCCCCGGCTCCCATCATCACTACGATCTCCTCGTCTGCCAAGCCTTCATAGCCCGCGGTCTTCCCAGTACTGAGCGAAACAGTCCGTATATGCAAACACATCCTGTCTTGCGACACCGGTCAAGACTATCATGGCCACTGGGAATTACTCTGATGCAGGCCTCGCAGAGAAGCAATTGCTCGAGCTAGAGATGCTTTTGCAAGGCAAGCACTCGCCTCCAGGTCACGACCAAGATGAAGAGAATTCGGCCACATTTGCCAACATGAAATCGTTCTACACATATCTCTGGAAACCTAAAGCAGATCATGGTCCTTTGAAACGTCAAACTCCGCCAAAACGTGCATTGCGGAGAACAGCATATCTGGATGGGCTTCGCGGGTTTGCAGCCTTACTGGTATATTCTCTCCATCACCAGAATTGGGCACGTCTGGACTGGGTTGAGAGAGGGATTATGGAGAATTCTTGGGGTTGGGAGCGGCATTACTATTTCGCCACTTTGCCTGGCATCAGAATCTTCTTTTCTGGCGGCCATACAGCAGTGGCTGTCTTCTTCATCATATCAGGCTATGTACTGTCTGTGAAGCCACTGAGCTTGATTCAATCAGGTCCAAGTCAAGCGGGCAGTCTTGCTAGAAATCTGGGATCAGCATTGTTTCGCCGCTGGGTTCGACTGTATATCCCGGTCCTTGTGGTTACATTCATCTGGATGACTTGTTGGCATGTTTTCGGCATACAATCGAGCCACCCTGATGCCCTCACGCCGGAGAAGACCTATAAGGACGAGCTGTGGAGGTGGTACTGCGACTTCAAGAACTTCAGCTTCATCTTCTCTGAAAATACGAATCACTACAACGATCACACATGGTCTATCCCCATGGAATTTCGCGGATCTGTCGTAGTCTGGACCACTTTACTGGCACTGGCTGAGTGCAATACCACCACAAGGCTGTTTTTCGAAGCTGGCCTTGTTTGGTACTTTTTGTACATTGTTGATGGTTGGTACTGCGCTCTCTTCATGATGGGAGTCCTTCTCTGCGATCTGGATCTGCTAGCCTTATCCGATCAGTCACCGAAAATGCTCCAGCGCAAATTTGGCCAATGGTTCTACTGGTTGCTTTTCGTCATCGCTCTTTACCTTGGGGGTGTGCCGTCAATCAGCAACGAGATCACTAATTTAAAGACGCAGCCTGGCTGGTATTACCTTGCCTTCCTGAAGCCTCAAGCCATGTGGGATTTTCGATGGTTCTTCCGCTTCTGGGCTGCGACTCTGTTTATGATCTCGATTCCACGACTGCCTGTCAAGAAATTCTTCGAGACGGCATTTTGTCAGTATCTTGGCAAGATCTCTTTCGCTCTCTACCTCGTACATGGTCCCATACTCTGGACCATAGGCGATAGAGTCTACGCAGCAACGGGACGGCCACAGTTGAGCTCTATGACTATGGCACCGAACTGGATAAACTTGTTCCAGTTCCCAGGTTGCGGTCCAAAATTCTTGGAAATGAACTATCTAGCCGCGCATCTGATCATGTTGCCGCTCACGCTCGGCGTGGCAGAATTGGTCACCAACCTGATCGATGAACCCAGCGTCAAATTTGCACAATGGGCATTTCAGACTGCAACAAGGCGGAGAACGTCAGCCACAAATGAGTGGAAGCCTGCAAGCCAGAGGATTGATTGAGGCATGTCTGTTCCCATTAGCTAGGCGTGTGGTCAACGAATGCATAAGCCTTATCCCACCCCCGTTCTTCTGATCTCGTGGTTCCGTGCATTCGACAAAAGCAACGTGCGGAAGATACATGTACGGGCCGACTCGGTGGCCTGATTCAGTAGGGCAAAGTGGAGCTGGATCCGAACGTGGCAGCATGACGAGATCGCTTCCTGGGCGGCTCAGCTACGGGACGGCAAGAATGTGTGGTAGTTGTCAGACCCGTTGACGACTGTGAAAGCCGCTTCAGCAGCCAAGCACTTTGAATCATGCGGCTGCACGGCGTTGCTAGAAATGGTCATGGCTTCGCTCTAGCAGGCTCACACGATCGTGTGCTCCGGACAAATAAAACACATCCCGCACGCTTCAACGCCATACCCACTGTGCTGAGTTAGTGCAGCCGCTCCTAATCAAGCCCGACTCGGCTAAGGAGATTACCTTTCACATGATTCCCAAAACGGCAATCTGTGAACCGAAGTGAGAAACCTTATTATTGCTCGACATATCCGGTGAAGGTTCGCTGAACAGTCTCTTTCTTTTCCACGGTCATTCACTAAGTCGACGCTCGCTCATTCACTGGCTTGCGTGCTGTTTGTACACGTACAACATGCAGACACTATCACTCCTCTTCTTGCTTGGTGTGGCCGTCCGATCATCATTCATCCCAGAATGTGCAGTAGGTATTGAAGTCAATGGCATTGGAGATTAACGCTAACAATTCGGTATAGAGCACATGCGTGGGCGACGCAATCGACAATTCATTATGTTCCTCTGCGGATACAGCTTGTATCTGCGAGTCTAGGGGCTTCCAGTCTGACCTGCGTGCATGCATTGAGGTCAATTGTGAAGAAGAGGATCAAGAATGTGAGCTTTGATGTGCAACGGTCAGATCCTGATCTCGTACTTACCAGATTTAGATGCCATTGCGCATACCGACCAATTCTGCGCAGCCGTACAAGGTCATAAGCCAGGTCTTCGAGCTCGTGATGCTGCACCAGAGCCGGAGCCTGCTGCCGCTGCAGAGGCAGAGGCAGAAGCGTGGGGACTTCCCGGTCGTTATCAGAACGACCGAGGCGGCCGCCAGAGCTGGTGGAGATGGGGACAGCAGCAGGGTAAGGAACAACCGCATCATGAGGATGGGGTGAGGGAGCATGGAGGCAACAAGTGGGATGGTGGCCGCGAACATCGTCCTAACGGTTACAACGGGGGCAAGCATCACCAACCTACGCCGACCAAGAAGCATCACAAGAAGCCGCACAAGCCCAAGAAGACTCATCACAAGAAGCCTCATCCAAAGAAGCCTCACAAAACCCAAAAGACGCACAAGCCCCACAAGCCGACCCAACCACCTCCACATCCATATCCTCACCCAACACCGACACCAACGACTTTGTCGACCACATGCACAACGACGAAGTCGCAGCCAGACAAGCCACATACGCCCATCTCTTATCCTACTCATTCAACTCGCAAACATCACACAACCAAAACTCGCAAGCATCACACAACCAAGACTCACAAGACGCACTCATATCCTACACATACGCGATATTCTCATACAACTCCGGTCACGGTCTATTAAGCGCGAAAGGCATGTCACGGTGTTGGAAGGTTGCATCGATCGCGTTAGAGCGAAATTTCGTATGAACGACTATACACTCGCAGTCCCAATTTCTCAGACACGAGAACATGTTTTCAAACAGATAGATTCAAGATTCTCTGGAACGAGCTAATCAATGTTCCTGAGCACAATGTTCAAATTCTTCTATTCAATGATGGCATCACCATGCGACACGTTCAAAACGTTTAACTTCAACGATCGCGAAGCATGTGAGACATGCTCGCCGACGAACATGCTGATCTCGGGCGATAGATACTTACTGGATCTCTCTTCGCCGCACAACTGAGACTGAGGCTCTTTTGCCGACCCGCGCCTTAGGTTAACTTCAACCCTCCGGATCCCGTACCATCCTGACCATCCGACAACCGTACCATTCTGACTATCCGACGACCGTACCATTCTGACTATCCGACGACCGTACCATTCTGACTATCCGAGACAGCCTCGTTACCAAACCAAACACACTACATGCCGCGTTGAGGACGGTACTGCTGTTGAGTCAGAGGCTATCTGCTGCCAGGTGGGAATTGTTGAGCCAGCAACTAGAACTACATCACAGACGCCAATCGTGCGCCCCGTAGTCAGATGTGCTTGTATGTCCCAGAAATTTAGCGTACCATTCTTTTGGGCGAGCGCCACCAAAGTTTGCAGGCAGGTTCCCAATATAGCGGTATAACCTGTTTCGGATTATAACGGCCTTAGCTAAGGTGACGATTAGGGTTAAGAAGGAGAGTGTTCTTAGCACTACGGCTTGCCTAATTAGTCGCTATTGCTGTCGCTATATTAACTACCTTGTTACTATCGCTATATTAAGCACCTTGCTATCGCTATATTAAGCACCTTGCTATCGCTATATTAAGCACCTTACTATCGCTATATTAAGCACCTTGCTATCGCTATATTATCTCTACCTCTTGCTACTATCGCTATATCTATTAGAAGTCCTTCTCTTGCCCTATATCTTACGTATAGCGTCGTCGTTATCTATCTAGTTAAACTAAGAAGCTACTAATGCCTCTAATCTAAGGTCTATAACTCGTAACGGCCGCTAAGGCGTTATAAGGTCGATAAAGGACGTATTCGCCGCTTTAGGCATATCGGCGCCTATTAAATCTACCTCTTTAACTAAGTCTATATCTATAGGCTATACCGACTATATATCTAGTAACGACGCGCGGTCGCGTTTGTAAGGTAATAGACGGAAGGCTAGCGGCGGCTCGAAGTAAGGGCATATTAGTAACGATAATAGAGCGCGATTAATACGCTATTAAGGTCGCTATCGCGGCGGCCGCGCTATAGCTAGCGCTCGGAAGGAGGTTATTATTGTTAGTCGAGTTAGAGTCGTCGGTTGCGCTAGAGGGTATAAGGTCTACTACCGCGGCCGCTTACCTATAAAAGTAACCTCGGGGGCGCCGCTCTCGTAGTAGTTAGTAATTAAGTAGTTAGCAAGGCTATATAACGTGTTCTTAACCTTACGAAGGAAGCCGCGTATATAGCTATCGCGTACTACTAGATCGACTATCTTATCGTCGCGGATGCGATAGAAGTGCTAAGAAAGGCCTTATTATAGTTCGAAACGTGGTTTTAAAGTGTGTTAATTTATATTATGTCTATCTAGCTACGGAGGAAGTATGCCTATAAGGCGGCTAGTAGTAGCCGCCTAGGTGTCCCTTCCCTCCTAGCTTCGTAACAAAATCCCCCGGTCGCGAAATGTCCGCGACTACGTAGACTATACCTATAATAGACTTATAATACTGTCGTATTCTCGTATAGGTATGCTAACTATACTTAATAGACTAACCGTCGTCTACTATAGAGTCTCCGTCTAGGTTTTAATAACTTACGCGTTGCGCGTCGCCTGCTCGGCTATAATCGAGTAGTTTTAGGTTACTAATTCTAAGCCTTTAGCCGCTGCCTAGCGCTCTAGGAATCTAATAGCATTCTTCCTATATATAACGTATAGGGCGTTAAAGGCGGTAGCGATAAATATACCGATACGGGCGCGGTCTTCCTCTTTTCCTAACTAGATTAATCTAGCGAGCTCGGCTATAATATCCGTAAGGGAGTCGTAGGTAAGTCTAGTAGCCTAGTCCTATAGCAATTCCTATATCGCCCGAATCGCGGCTTTCTCGGAATTAGCTTTAGTGTTAGAGCGTTAGATCGCGTCTATCGCCTATAGTAGACGAAGGGTAGACTATTCTACGTCTTCCTTAACTATACCGTCCGTATTCTAGAAATAGGAGAGTTCTAGTACGTAGTTAACAACGTCCTCCGTATCGGTAAGCTTTCCGTTCTATTCTTCTAAATTCTCGTTATCCTAGTCGATATTGTCTTTAGTATAGGCTACAATGTCGTCGCGAATTTCCTCGGGAAGGACGTTATAGGCTTAGAGGAATTTCTTTGCGATAGACATAGCGTAGTCGTATAAGGCTCTCTCGTCTTCTAATAACTACTCGCGAGACTCCCCGTCCTTAACGTAATTCTATTCCTTTGTTGCTGCTACGACTATATAGGCGAGGACTCCTACGAACATTTATAACTCTTCCGGCTCGCTTCCTAGCTACTATTTCCTAGTAAGCTCTACTAGGGCGATCTAGACGAATAAGCTACTCTAGCCTTTATCGCGGAGGATGTCGATAGGGAGTTAGGATTTGCTCTTGTCTATATTAGCGATAGATACAGGGTTAGTAGCAATAGCGATGTCGTTGTCGGCGGCGCCGGAGGTAGCGGCGGTAGCTATAGGGTTAGCGACTATAGCAGCGCTAGGGATGCTAGCCGTAGGGATAACGACTATAGTAGCGCTAGGGGTACCCGCTTTGCCTCCGTCTAAGCTATCTAGTCCTACTAAGATTCTTATACTCGCTATCTTACGGGGGTCGGATTGAGGCATAGCGGGTATCTCCTTAGTAGATATAACATAGCCGCGCCTATTAGGGACGCCTACCTAACTAGCGTTGTCTTTAAGTTCCCTACCTAGGAAGCGGATTAACTACTTAGCTTGCTTGTCGTGCTTATAGTGTCCGACGTAAAGGATTTTTCTAGTCTTATTATTAATACGTAGGAGAATAACTGCCTATATCTAGTGCCGCAATACCGCCGCCTTTAGCAGTATAGGAACTGCCGCTATTAGGAAATCGTCTATCGGGGCTAGGAGGTCGGTCTAACCGCCTTCGACTGCTTCCTTAATCTATTATAGGGAATAGCTAAGTATATATACCGACTAGTCGCCGAAAATCTTTATATCTACGGCTTTCTCGGATGCGGGAATATCCCGAAGATATTCCTCTTAGGGAAAGACTTCGTCGTTTTTTAATTCCGCTATAAACGATCGTATCTTCTTAGCTAGCTCTATAGCATCGAAGTAGGCGTTAAAGTAGTTATAGTTAAACTTCCTCGCTATCTCCGCGATATAGTTTAGATACTATTACTACTCTTAGTTAGGGAACATTGCGATAATTACGTATCCTACCTCTATTATAAGTTCCGTTATGCTCGCTACGCGACGAACGAAATCCATTTCCTAGGTCTTAGATAGACGTAGACCGTCGCCGTAGAGGGTTCGGCCGCTATAAGCCTTACGTAAAACGTCGAATAGGCGTATAAATCTATAGCGCCCGAATAGAAGCCGGAACGTTAGGTCTATAAAGAGGCCCCTTAGAGTAATACCGCTGTCTCCTAGCGTAGGCGGGTCGCGCGCGTCGATCGGAGGATCCGCGGTACTTATCTTAGCCTTCCTAGCTAATTTTCGCTTACTAGAGGCTTTGCTAGTACCTAACTATTCTAGCTAGGTAGACGAAGGGTCCCGGTCGCGCGCGTCGATCGGAGGATCCGCGCTACTTGTCTTAGCCTTCTTAGCTAATTTCCCCTTACTAGAGGCTTTGCTAGTACCTAACTATTCTAGCTAGGTAGACGAAGGGTCCTACGTAGTAGTCTACGTAGCTTCGTCTTTAGCGGCGGCAATCCGCTTTGCCTTTACGTACGGAGATTTAGCTACTATAGTCGTAGTTGCTATTATAGATTTTAGCTTCTTTAGAGTCGGCGCCTCGTCGGCGGTAGGTGCTTTACGCTTCTTAGTAGTAGCCGCTAGTAGTTTGCGCTTAGCCGCTTTTGCTTCTACTTTAGCGGCCTTTACGGCGGCCTCGCTAGCTTTCTTCTCCTCGCGGTGCTTCTACTCGATTGCGTCTAATTTCTTTAATACTTTAGCTTTAAGCTTCTCCTTTTCCTTTATATATAAAGGGAAGGGTAGTGTCTCTAGCCGTACGCCTCTATCGAGTGTTACCTCTCGGGATTTTAGCGTATAGTAGCTTACGGGAATGTCCTAGAAGATAAGGCCCTTAGTAGCCGGTACGAGACTGAATATTAAGTCTATTAGCAACGCGCGTAGGCCTAGAGGGAACCGTCCTAGCTATAGCTAGAAATTTTAGATTATGCGGCGGAAATCTTATTCGATGTCGCCCTAGGCTAACTGCTATATCTAATTCTTAGCGAGTTCGGCGATTAGCTATATATACGTAGATCGCTATATTAATAGGAGCTTACCCTTAAGTACGGCGGGCTTCGACTAGTCTAGGGTATCGGGGCACTCCTTACTGGTTATATCGAAGATAGCCTTAAGGTGCTCCGCGATCCTACTAGGCTCGCTTTCGGCGTTTAGTAGTAGGCTAATACTATCGGAGAAAAGTCCGATAAAGTAGTTTTTAGCCTCCTTGTATGTCTTAAGGCAGGTCTAGCCTTCGGTTGTCTAGTATACTAGGGCGACGTAGGCTAGCGCCGTTTTAGACATCTTCTCCTAATAGAGCTCCTTAAAGAGGTCGGCGTATTTCGCGTTTCGGCTATAGAATAGAACCTTGTATATAGGCATCGCGATATCCTCCGGCTTACGTACCTCGTATAGGATAGAGTCGTCGCTACTAAAAGTGTCGTATTTAATATCGTAGACGAGAGGTTCGCCCGCTATAGCTTACTCCTACGAACGGGCGTCTACGCTAAACTTCGGGTTCGCTAGGCCTTCTTCGTAATTCTGTATCTATTATAGAGGATAGAGCTCG